AGTCATGTCAATGAAGATCATAAATTAAGGTGAAGAGAAAAACAGGATGTGGCAAGTGGTATTCCATAATGATGAAGGAAAGAAAAAAGGAATCCTTCCTCCCAGACCTGTAAGTTTCACAGGAACATAAATCCCAACTTAATGACACCTTCCACATTCAGAGAACTAGTTCAGCTCAGTTTCAGTGAAAGACATTTATATAAAACCAATCACAGAACTTTTACTAAAATCAATATTAGAATAAGCCAGCTATAAATATAGGGCACAAGCTGGAGGGGAATCTGGAGAACTTGGCAAATTTAAGACCTGCTGCCCATATGTGTACCACCCTCCTCCCTTCTTTAGTCTCCCCAGCCAGCATAGGTTAGAATTTATGTTGTTTGAGATAATTGTTCGTTTTTGTGTTTTGGAGTGGCAGCAATAAAAGATTGGGCTGTAGACCTGTCTCTTGCCTCTCTATAGCAAGAAGGTGTAATCTTTACATCAGCAGCCAGTTTACGTGTAATCCATGTAACACTTTCCTTTTAATTTCTCCCTGCTACACAGTAAAGGCAATGTTAGCTTACTTCAAAGGCCATTCTAACTCTTCTATCCTATTTCATGAAAACTTACTGGCTCAGTCACAAAAATAAATTCAGCCATATACAAGCAGTCCTCGGACTTATGATACAATTGGCTTCTGAAAACCGCGTCTTAAGTCGAAACATTGCAACTCGGAACCAATTTTCTCATAAGAAACAATGTTATAAATGGGGGATTAGTTCCTGAACCAAAGCCTGATACTCTATTTTCACTAAAAATACCCCAGAATTTTGTACTCGATCAATTATAGATGAGTAATACAGGTACATTAATGTATTTATATTATAAATAGCAATCATATTGATTTGGAAGGACTTCTTTGAGGTGACTTTGCTGGACTTTTTGAAAGGCTCTTGGTGAACTTTTTGAAGGGTTCTTGGCTGGAATCTTCTCAGGAGTCCTGGCTGCAGGTTTTTCTGGAGTCTTGTCTGTTTTCTTAAAGAAAGTGTCCAAGGAAGTTTGGGCAGATGTTCTTCAGGGAGATGAACAATGCAGCAGACTTGTTCGCTGGCATGGCGTCGCATTGGATCAAGCGTTGTAAAGTCAAAACTGACATCATAAAGTTGAAACGGTGTCAATTTATAAACGTTGTAAGTGCAAAACGTTGCAAGTCAAGGACTTCCTGTATATGCTAATATCCCATGTTACTGATGCTGAAGAAACTACTGAGATTACTTTTTAGAAGCCAGTACAAGGAGTAAGACTGATTCTGACAGTGTCTTTATTGGTACTCAATAAGTGAATTAGATTGCTGACATGTATTTATACTCTGCCATGTATACATTCTCTATGGCAGTAGAATATGTGGTCCCTTCTGATTTGTTTTTTCTTCCTCAGTAATTTTACTTTCACAAATCAAATATTCAAGTAATTTTCCTACAAAGGAGGATCATTTACTCTATATTTTCTGTTCATAAAGAATCATAAAAATAGAGATAAAAGGGACTTCAGGAGGTCTAAGGGAAAATACTTATGTTCAAGGGGAATTCATCCCAAGCCAAGTAGTTGTCCAACGTGCACTTAAGTTTTCAAAGATGGAGATTCTAAAACTGCTTTACATAATCCATACCAGTGCTTAACTACTGTCATAGTTAGCAACTTCTTCCTTAAATTCCCTTCTTACTTTTCCCTTATAATTCAAGATCACTCGTTCTTGCTCTGTTCCCTGTAGATGCAGAAAACAGTCTATTACTATCTTGACAACAACCCTTTTTTGTGTTTGATGACTTCTCAAACTCCTGTCCATCTTTTCCAAACTAAGTAACTCCTATTCTTCCAACCTTTCCTTGTGAGTTATGCTTTCTAGGTCTACTACTTTTTTGTTGCTCTCTTCTGATCTCTTTCTAGTTTGCCCAGGCTTTTCTTAAAATGTGGTAACCCAAACTGGACCCAGTACTCTAGGTGAGGCCTAACCAGTACTTTGAGGGCTCTTTTTTGCAGCAAGAGCACACTGTTGACTCTCATTCAGCTTATGGCCCACTACAACCCTCAGGCTCTTTTCTGTAGAACTGCAGCCTGGTTAGTCATTTCCCAATTTATATTTGTGGCATTTTATTCTGTCATAAGTGCAGGACCCTTGCACTTGTCGTAATTGAATTTCATCCGGTTTATTTCAGACCATATGGTGCTTTGAAATACAGATTGTCAGATAACATGGAGTGCTTTATTTACTCATACTAGTAAAACTCAAGGAAGAGCTGCAAGACTCTGGAATATATATGTACCCTGGGAACCATCACATATACCTCACAAAATTGGACCAAGATATTTATTTATTTATTTATTTACTCAGTTAGGGAATCTAGACAATATTTGCAGGCTTTCTACCTACATAGCTGTAGCTCAGATAAAGGGAGATAAAAACTTTCAGTGTAAGAGGATCAGTGCTTTCTGGTAGGGAACTCACTGAGTATCTGTGTAATTTACATCTCTCTCTTGTCTTGGTAAAAAATATTCCTTCAGTACCTTTTTCCTCCAGCCCAGGGTGCTACCTCCATGGTCTTCTTCAAGGGTACTTACTGTTGTTCCATAGATTTGCTACCAGGGGTACCTTCTGAAACTGCTAGACCCAACCTCTAAAGGTCAAATATGTCACCTCTGATCAGGGAAAGAAAGGCTAAAAGTCATTCTTACAACCTTATATGGTGAATATAATGACATGCTGTGGCAAAGAAGGACAAGACAAAAGTAAATTTTGTTAGGGAAGAATAAAATGTACATTGATACATCTCCAGAGAATCAAAAGCATTTAGTACTTTAAATTTCCTGCCCCTTTCCTTTTATGGACATGAGAGAAATGGTTGTATCAGAAAGGAATGTGAGGGATATAATTGCTGGAAAGGTAATTTCTTCACCTTCCCAGTGAATAAACCCTCCATCTTACTTTATGAGGCTGGTAGCAAACCTGAACCACTGACAGATTAGGAATTGCGCAAGCCTCACATCCTGATCTTGGATGCACAGAATACAAGCTTTCAGAAATGAAGAAAAATATGAACTATGCCTGTGTTGAAAGAAGTGTAAGCAGCTGTTAAATTATATTATCTAATAAGCTTGCAAACATTTTCTGATGTACTCTTTTTTAAAACTGCAGACTTTAAGTACAAGCTAACAGGAGCTATGAATAGCAATGTAGCAGACAGCCAGTAGGTTATTAGATTAGGCAACACGTAAGGATCTGAGATTTTTTTATACAAAGATTACACATTCTTACCTGTGTGAAGGGCCTGGACATGCATCTGATGCACCAACCATTCTGTCATGTTTATGTCCTCTTTACTAAGGCAAATAACCCCTAACTACATTGTTAATTCTTGGATAATGCAAAGGAAAGGCTAGGACTAACTCTCATACAAGCCATTTGGGTCAGATGCACTGACACTTTAGACAGAGTGGAATTTGGTAGCTCCCACCTGTCATTACTCATTTCCACTCACAAACTCATTTGGTTTCTTTCACAAAGTAATGCACACAACCATGCACATCATGAAAGATGTTGTCATAGTCAAAGACAAAATCTACTACTCCACAAATTCACATGATCTCAATAATGATAAAGCTCATGTGTTTCTGTCCTTTAACAAAAATAAAGCATGGAAAAATATCTTGAAGGGTAGTTTTGTTAGCAGATTTAAATTTAGCAAAACAGTGATATTCTGCTGTAACATTCCTAGGCACCCCAGTGTTAAATAGGAAAGGCAGATTTTAGTAGAAAACCTTCTAAAAGGCTGGTTTATATTTTTGAGTGTTCTAACTATAAAATATTCAAGAATAATCGCAGCGAATTCACTCTTTTCTGAACTTATCTACTCAGACAGTAGCAAAAATCTGGAAAAGATACCAATGAATATAATCAAACAGGTATATTTACACAGTTTATTAGAAACCATATTTCATACATACATTAGGAATGGATGTACTGTACCTAATCATTGCAGCCCGCATGTCAAAGAACTCAAATTTCCTCATGTTTAGCAGTCATAGTGCAGAATGCATTACAGTTTACTGACCATAGCTCAAACCAAGTGGAAATTCTGTGCTGTAAACCAAGTACCTTATTACAAAGTTACTTTTTTTTCTTTTAAAATGGATTAGAAGGCAAACTAGAGGAAAATAAAAACTCTGCCACACATAACCAGCCCCCGTGCATACAACTTTCCCCACATACCCTGGAGTTCATTCATTACCACAGTATTCAGGCATCAGTGTAGTTCTCACAAACATCCTTTGAAGTCAGTGGTTCTGCTGAGACAGTCAGCTGCACATAATTAGCTATTCATTTTGCACCAAGCATATCTCAATTCATACTAAAGAAAGAAGCACCTGTTATTCTCAGGAATATACAAATATTTACCACAGTTTTTTTGCTCGTTACAAAATCAGTTAAGGAAGCTTACAGCACATTATTTACAAATTCTATCCAAATACATAAAGAAGTTGTCAGAGACACTTTTTTTTCTGGCACAATGTCAAACAGCATTTGTAGTCAGTTAAAGCTGAGGGCAGCTCATTTCATTCCTCTCCCACACCAGAATCTGAAAGGTTGCAGGTGTCTCACGCACAGTGTCATAAATAGTCTTTGGGTGGATATGTCAGTAGAAAGAAGTTAATTCTTCTTGTGAAGGAACTTCATCTTATTACCTACAGCAAGCACAAAATATGATGCATCCATCATTAACATATGCTGAAAAACCAAGAGCAAAAGAATGGCATCTAGGAGGGTCTTCCAATACATAATATAACCTCTAGTGAAGAAATGAAGTGTAAAGAAAATGCCACAGAGGTATCTAACTGGAAATGCTGGACAGCCATATCTGATGAAGGATAATATCCACTTCCAGATTTTCCCCTTTTGTTAGGTTAGGGGTTTTTGTGTTTAATCTATCCATCCAAATTGGAAGGAAACTCGCCTAGAGTCCATAATAAAGCCTACGTTTCTCACCCATAAGTGATTTTCATTGTTTTTCTCCAGAAAATTCCTAATACATAATTAAGCTATGAGTGGAGTATCATATTTTATTTTAGGCAGGCTAGTGCTTTTTAAGACAATTTGTGAAAAACAATGCAGGATTTCTTCTGAAGATTTCTCTTACCAAGACCTCGTAGGAATTTGTTTACTCCACTTTGTTCAGTGTCTGGAAGCTCTTCCAAATACTGTTCAACCCTCTGTTCAAAGAGACCTGTGGGCAGATGAGAAAGAAATCACTGCTTGGTTTTCTTTCCAAGTCAAAGAAGAAAAAAAAAGATGCTATGTAGGGGACAAATCAAGACCTAATAATATACATTGGCTACCCACAAAGACAAAGCACTGCTCCCAAAGGTGTGTTTCACAGTCCAGTAAAACCTGGTATCTGTTGCAGACTGGTTTGATCCCCTGCCATCTGCATTACCAGCCTTTTCCCTTTGCAGTTTTTTTTTCCCCACCCCTAATTTATGCTTAGAAACTTGACCAGGTAAGAGTGTCCCTCAAAAAGATCCCATTGGCATCAGGAAGATTATCAGTCACCTCAGGGGTTACCAAGTCCCAAGTTTCAAAGGCAGTGTGTGTTGATTTCATGACCCTCATAGTATCCACCTTGCTGAGGAATAGAGTGGCCAGGCCTCCCTTCAAGCCCAGGACTTTGGCTATCCAGGCCAATATATGAAGAGTGTCAATTAGCCTGTCCAAGCAGCAACAATAAGGATAGCGGCACTCAGCGAGGTGCTCTACTATCAATTCATTCCAGGGTGGGAACAGATGTTTATGCACACAACTTTCACATAAATCATCTGAATTCTGAGCACCAACCTTGCAAAAAGAGCTGCAGATGGATGGATCCATTCACATCTGTATTCACTGGGGCCCAAAGAGAACTCCATGCAGGATCTAACTGCCTTAAACTGTTAGTCATAGGACAGAGACCTTATCTTCACCTCTGTATTAAGTATCCAGCACATCCCTGGTGCTATACCAGTGGTTCTCACACCTTTTGGGGTTACTTATCTGCCCCCCTTCCCTTAAAGTTTCTTGGATACAGATGTCCCTGTGCTGTGGCTATTAAAAAGCAGTGACACATTGCTGTCACATTATAATGTCTCTAACCACCTAAAAATACTATAGAGTAGTTGTTCTTTTTCTCCATTTATGCTGCCCCTTCCCTTCTGGCTTCTTATTCCTTCCTCTTGCCTACCTTTTAGAAGTTTACCATTTACCCCAGCTCAAGAAACATAGCGCTACACAAATAATGAGCAATAGTACCAGCAGTGGCAAATATATCACTGCATCAACTGATACACAGCTCAGGAAATTTCCTTGGTTTTAAATAAATATCACATTGTGCTGACTGTAATTACACCAGGGATAATATAAGAGCTAAGCAGCCAGTAAAACATCACAGAACATAATTTTGGTAACATAATTAAAACAAGAACTAGGAATTTAGGCACTCCAAATACTATTGGACCCATCTCATGTTTCAATTTCCTGCTTTTTGTGCTTGGCTTGAAACAGTAATTCAATTTACTGCTATAAATACCATTTAAACATTTGATTTCCTTCAAAGGAAGCTTGTTTCAGAATGCTTCCTGGGCCACAGATTTTTTTAGACTGCCTCCAAATGATGCTTTCTTTTCCTGTACAGAATCAACCCTTACAGATCTGCCAGGATAATTTTAAGGTTTAGAATATCTAAGTTTGCTATTTGGCAACCTTAGCAGAATGCAGTGGTCTCAGTAGATTATATTATCCAAGGACCATATCCTTGGTATTGTCCTGACCTAGGACCTGATTTTACCAACAGTTACTTAGATATGTAGGAGATCCAACTGGCAGGTGCAAAGTAGCCTAGGCCAGGGTCTGGCAACTGTTTCAAGCCACTGGGCTGGAACAAGCCCACTTCAGTTTGGGTTTTCCTGTGCCCGTGCCAAAGCCACGCAGCTGGGAACTGTGCCCACGCTGCTGCTTGCTGCTTCTCCCAGCCTCCTCGCTCCCCAGCTAGAGTGCAAGCTCAGCTTCCAGCTAGAGGAGCTATGCCAGCGTTATTCTGGGCCAGAATGCTCCTTCCATGCTACAGCTGCTTCTCCCCACTCCTGACCCTCAGTACCCAACACATTCCTGGACAACTCCAGTCCAGCTTGAAGTAGTGTTTGCACTGCAGCCTTGGGGAAGGAGGAGGGGAAAGGGGGCAGAGAGAAGTGGCATGGGCACAGTTTCCAGGCAAAGGGAGAAGAGCTGCACAGGTGCTGGGCTGAGTAGGAGACATGGGGATGGGGAGAAGCAGCAGCAGTGTGGAAGCAGCTTCCAGGTGTCCAGCCCAGCCTGAGCACAGCTCCTTGCTGCTCTGGCATGGGCAGACAAAGCCTTGCACAGACAAAACCAGATCCGGTGGCTCCATGGGTCAGTATGGTCCTCAGGTCATATATTATCAACTCCTGGCCTGGTCTATACCTTTTGAGCAGCCCAACAAAATCGAGCCTAGATGGGAGATGCTGCAGGCCTGCTGCTGCTGTTGGAAGTTACTGGAGTTCAAGACTGCTCAGTGTTTAGCAGCAGATCCATTTTGCAGACCTTGTCCCACACACTGAACCTGAAATGAGTAGGAGTACTCATAAGCCTGCATGGACCCCCAGGGATCCATCAACAGCAAGCTCTAGGCAGGATAAAGGGCATAACCTCTTTGCAGGGTAGGGAGGGGAGCAGTGGGGAAAGAGCCACTGTAATGAGCTTGAGAGATGTGTGTGCAGGAAAGCCCCAGAACCTACTGAAGGGATTCCTACCTCCAGACACGTTTAAATAACTGCCCGCTGCAAAAGCCCTGATCTTCACAAACATCTTTGGGGGCAGGTTCTCACCCCCATTCTGTTTTACCTCCTCCCCTTTGCTCAAATCAATCCATTCACCCCGAATTGCCCCAGCACGCTCCAGCACCCTTGCCCTCCCCACTCCTTCCAGCTCTCGGTGCTCTGGAGAGCGTACCTCAAAGCATCTCCTCTCTGACCTGAAGAGCAAGGCATGGACGGTGTGCTCTGCAATCTTCCCTCCCTTTCCCCCTCTTCCCCACATGGCTGTGGCAGTGTCGGAGGCGGAGGAGATACACTCCAGCTTGCTCTCCCGTCCCATCATTCCTTCCGAAGCTTCTCATGAAACCTTCCGGCTGGGGGAGGAGCGAAGCCAGAGCTGGTAGCAAAGCAGAGCAGGGGCCAGCAAGTGGCACTGTTGCACAAAGCTCATTCAGTAACAGCCTGCTGAGGGCTCAGACACCACATCAGAGGACAACGCTGCCTTCAGGCAATCTATGGATCTGAACCACCAGCTAAATTGTCAGATTACCCATTGCTAACTCAGTGGCACTACTCATGCAAATGAGATTTTGCAACATCAGAACCTTATCTAGACACTGGCTTTATTAAACTGCTCAGACTTCTTGAACCAAATTCCCCATGTGGGTGATATCAAACCTTTGTAATCTTTACTCACTGGAACAAATCACTCATGTGAACAAGAGGTAACAAAACCAGGCCTAAATTCTGTCTCTTAAAATATGCCCTGCCTGCCTGTTTTGAACACCTTTCCATATTTTTATCCTAAACATCATTTGAGGAATTGGTTGAGAATGTGAAGATGGAAGGGTGACAGCGACCATGAAATGACAGAAGTCAAGATCCAAGGGGAGGAAGGAAAGAGAGCAGAAGAATAAAGACAGTGGACTTGAGAAATGCCAACTTTAACAAACTCAGGGAACTGGTGGGCAGGATCTCCCAGAAGGCAAGTCTGAGCAGAAAAGGAGTCCAGGATTACTGGCTGTACTTTAAGAAGCCCTCTTAAGGGCACAGGAGCAAGCTGGCCCAATGCTACAAAATAATAGGAAGTGCAACAGGAGACCAGCCTAGCTAGACAGCACTCTCTTCAAGGAGCTGAAACTCAAAAAGGAATCCTATAAAAATGGAAACTTGGGCACAGTAATAGGAAAGAGAATAAGAGGTGTTTAAGGAGAAAATTAAGAAGGCCAAGGCACTACTTGAGCTACAGCTGGCAGGAGACATAAAAAGGGATTCTACAGGTATGTCGAAAGTAAGAGGAAGACCAGAGAAACCATAGCTCAGAGTAGTTCACACCTTACAGAGTGAAGAAAGTCATCTAGTAATGGATAATGCAGAAAAGGCTTAAGTATTTAAAGCCTTTTTACTTAAGGAGTAAAGCCTTTTTACTTAAGGAGTAAGCCTTAAGGAGACGATCCTCCAAGCCCAGAGGCAGGTAATCCCCAGGAGGGTCAAAGGGGGCAGGAGAGCATATAAGCCTCCATGGCTCACTAAAAACATCTGGGAATGTCTCCTTGCCAAAAAGGAGGCTTACTCCCAATGGAAAGGAGGGGTCATCACTAAGGAG